CAGACATGGGCGTAGTGAACTAAATTTCAAGTACCACTAATATTGAATATAGTGAGGCTTATTTTTTTCTAATCCCACTAAAAGTAGTGGGACTCAGATTTTTTTTCACTACCACTAAATGCGTTAGTGGTAGTTGAAAAAATGTTCACTAAAAATAAATGCCTTTAGTGGTAATTGAATTTTTTTCCACTACCACTAATGAGTTTAGTGGTAATGTAAAAAATTTTCAATCAATTCAAAAGTAGTGGAATCAACAGATTTTCCACTAAACCAAATATAGTAAAGTAATTAGGCCTTTTCAAGTGATTTTTGGAAATGTATCGGCTTTTGAACATATGTACATTTATTTTCTAACATAAGTACATATCAATTTACAGTGTATTTCAATACAATTACAATATTTCTTTACCCACTGGGAAAATAGGTAAGCACCTTACGAGGTAAGCCATGTTTTCTTTCAGTTTTAGTTCCAAAATTGTCATCATGGCCAATGTCATCTACTAGTAAAGCACAAAATGAACACCTCCAACGACACATTACGTTGTCAGTTGCAAAGTAACGTGCAGACGAAGTTATCTCCAAGCGCCGAACTACTCCGAGCGACTTCTCTGCATTACACGTAACTTACTTTGTAAAGCGGCTCAGAAGTATGTCTGATACCAAATGTACATTCTAAATTCCTACTTACATAAGGCGGCCATGCCTTTGTAAAAGTAAGGGACGTTCGGCAGGGAAATGGTAATGACTGCCAGGTGAAGAGTAAGTTGCTAATAAGGTATTATTACGTGCTCCTAATTCCTACTGGGTAAAATAAACACAAACACAAATTTCTTCAAAAACTTACACGTACAACGTGTACAAAATTTATTTGATATACATACAGCCGCACTCAGAGACGTTCCTTAAACTAACTCTAACGGGAACTTAACTAATGAGCATTAAATCTGTTAATGTTTCCTCTAAGAGTTAAAAATTATGAAATGAAAAATTTAAGTATGGCCCCAGTTGCGGCCCTTTATTTTTGTTGTGGCTGATAATAGACTTTAATTGCTTTGAACATTGTTTGCTTTCATTAGAACAAGTTTTTCAAAATTCAAATCAAGCAGATTCTTTCTGCGGGGAGCGTTTACTATCCCTGCAAAAGAAAATAGGCGCTCTACAGGAGCAGAGGACGGAATCGGAGTGTTAAATTTAAGGAACACCTCCCTAATAATTTTGTAATTCTCCAGGCAGTTGAGAGAAGTATTAGGATCTACCAAATAAGTTTCAAGCTGCCTTCGAATCTCCTCCTGCTCAGTCGTTTCGGGTACCCCTACTATTAAAGGAAGAGTTGAAATCAATTTACATCGTAAAAGCATTATCTTACTGCTTGCATCTTCAAACTCCAAAAACGAGTCAGATGGTTCTAAAGTTTTTGTTGTTTGTATCGCTAGGTTGGTTGATTTGGGAATGAACTGAGCAGCGTGCTCAATAAATAAATTTTTTAAAACATCCACAGTTAAGTGGGGTGCTGTTCGCTGCAGCACTGACAAAAATCGGAGCTTGACAGCTGGACATGACATCGCCGCTATGATGGCCAAGTTTGCCTCTTCATCTCCTTAAAATTATAAATGTGTAAAATTTCTTTAGCTTAAAAGTCGAAAGCATACCTTCAAAAAATTTTTGAAATCTCTTGTGTAGACAATCTACCAGTTCGCTGCAAACAGAACCAAGCTCACGTATTTCAAAGCTTTCTTGAAATTTAGTTAGTTTGATTTTCAAAGATATTAGGGCAGCAATGAAGTAGCCGAAGTACATATGTTGATCTGCCTGCAAAAAGTCGATGGCACTTGCGATAGGCTCCATTAACTTAGTGTAACTCT